CAATGAAGTAACCTCTTTCAAATCTCTCCCGTTGGTGGTGATTGGCGCTGGATGTTTCTGCCGTTGTTGTTGTTGGTTGGTTATTTTCACAACCTTCGTCTTGTCTATGTTCACCTGGAGCCCTGTCTTCGCCGGCTGCTCCTTCGACTAGTTTGTCGGTTTTCGCTTGTAAGTCTTTGATTTTGTGTGTTATCAAGCATAAATCATCCACGCGCGAAATCCAGGTCTTCTGGGTTCTTCACGTCGGTTCAGGATATTCCTGTCTTCTCTTTTCCCACTGTCTGACGCATAATCCAGTTCACCACAATTAGGAATATCGTTGGTGATAATAAGCACCGTTGTCTGACTCCTGTGTTTATTCCAAACGCCTCGCTGAGTTTTCCGTTTTAGATCACTTGACCTGTACCGTTGTCGTACAGCTGTTGAATACAGTATCTGAATACAGTATATGAATTTGAGCATTCAGTTTACAAAATGTGCAGAACTCCTGCATGTATCAATACAACATAAACCACAATTTTAGAATTTCTTTAAAGCATCATTTGTATACTTTATCCACCTACTAGGCAGGTATTACAGTGATTATCGACTTATCCGGTGAGCTGTAGTTCACAGATTTAGGCTGTAATGGTATAGATACACAGTTTCAGGAGGTTTACATTCCTGGCAAAATATCAGGCGAACATAGACAAATTTAAATGTCTCACTCTCTAATACTAATCACTTGTCACGTGTTCGGTTCTCTGTAACTATCCGATCAGTTATTAGTACTGTACTAGTAATCAAAGTATCGGCAAACATTATCAGTTGCAATCAGTTTGAGCAATGAATGAATATAGGGCTTTCTGTCATTTCTAAATGTAGAATATAATATATATATATATATATATAAAGTAAGACTGACAGTTTGTTGATTTCTCTTACATCAATATTTCTTATCAATGTCAATGAACTAGTAGACTTTAGAAAAAAACTACAAGATTTCCTGTAGCATTACGTATACTTTTTAAAAGACACAACGTTTACATTGGATGAGAGATTATTATGGAGACAAATAATTAGTAAATAGGATTTTATTGTGGATGTATTAGATTACACTTGGTAGGTATATCTCAAATAGGATTGTACGTGATCACCAGCATTCACCAGAAAAATATAATTCGTAAGAATGTATATATAATAGCCTGGTAACCACTGGTTTACAGATTTCTCTAGTTTTCGGTGTAATGCAATCATTAATGTCAATTAACCATTACATGGAGGATTTAACCATGAGCTGAAATCAGTTAGAGAACCACTGGAATACCTGGGAGCACCGGAAAACTGTTTCGTCCTAGTTTGGGACTCTTCAGCAGTACACACCCACCGGGGTTCGAACTCAGGACCTTTTGGTTACAAGTCGAGCTCGTAGACCACTGAGCCACTGGCACCTGATCCAGTGGTCCTTGAATTCCAACTTCTGCCAATTCTCGATATAGCGCAACCATTTCGCAATGTCCCCTTCGATGAGTTACTGCCGCATCTTCGACCTGCTGTATCCTACTGGTCACGGCTTCCCACTAGAACCCCAGGTTGACGGCCTGAACAGGGACAGTCGCTAGTGAGCATCAGATTAATTTTTAAGTATTGGTTTTGTAGGGATTTTGTGTTTGATTGTATGGAGGGTTTTATCATGAGCTGATATCAGTTAGACAACCACTGGAATGCCTATTGCCACACATTTTCGTGTAGTTTCTAATGAGTTGGCTAAGTGAAGCATTCGAAGAAGTTAGAAAAAAAATTGTTACTATATTCATACTGACTAACTGAAATGTAATATCGTCATCTATTGACACTTGTATTATGTAATTCGTTCATTATATCTTCTTTCGTATTAACCATAAGATAGTTTGCCTCATTGGGATAATTGAGTGTGAATCAATTCTATGAAAGCTATTTCGTTCAAATATCTATTTTTAAAAGGCTAAATTTGGTTTTAGATTTAAAAAACCCGATATGAACACTATTGTTTGACTGCATTATAAGATTTCTTAGTATTCTAATGAAATTTAAGGTAGGATTATTCCTTTCATTTTAGCATGGAAACCTTATTTAAATAGATCTCCTCTCATTCTAATGTCAATGACAAAACTATCAAAACTTATGTGAAAGTGAGTACACATTTTGCCTTATTTTTAAGGAGTACTCACAACAGTGTACGCACTACTTCGTAAAGGAGGGAGAGAGTCATACCATTAAATCAAATTATTATTTGCAAACTCGTTTGTTAATTTTGCATGGTTTTCTAAGCTCTTTGATGCGACCTAGTGAACTGTGATTCCCCAAAGACATCAAATGATAATGCCACCATTTTGTGAATTTGAAAAATTTAACTGTTGTTTCACCCATGTACAAAAACATCATAGGTGAGTACCTCAGAAGAGCTCCAAATTAAAACAAATTAATCTGATCCGCGCTAGTGAACTGGAACAGGACATAGTTCCCTGGAGTTATACTGAGAAGTTGTGATCAGCGATGCCCATGCAGTCAAGTTTGGGGATGGAGTTCCCACCCATGACATTGGTTGGTGGTCACACTAAATCACGAATCGGTAGAAGTTAGAATTTATGGGCAGGCCACTGAATCGGGTCCCAGTGGTTGAATGCTACACGGGATTGCCTTGTAATCGGAAGGTCCCGGGTTCGAACTCCAGTAGGCGGGTACTGTAGATGGTTCTCAAACTAGGATGAAGTGGCTGTCCAGTACTCCCTGGTTTTCAATGGTTCTCTAACTGATATCAATCCGTGGTCAAACTCGTATAAACAAGTCTAATCCTTACAAATCAAATCCTTGAAAGTTAGAACAAAACAGTCATTTATTCATTTGTTCTCTATCTAACCTTGTACGTTAACTAAATCTACCTATTAAATACCTATAGCTTTATACTTTTAACTGTAGGAATTATGTCTCTTGTATAAATATCCTTACCTATGGTTTCACAGTTTACTTTTTAAATGAACACGTCCTTTATTGAGTTCTGGTACTTACTGTTGGTAAGACATCAAACATCACGTCAATCTGATAGATCTTTATTTTTGTTTGTATTTTTTGTTGTTGTTTGCCTTTATTCTGGACAGTTGTTATGTCAACTTAAAATGTCTATAATTTCATATTATTAATAATTCCTGACAAACTACTTCTGCCTCTAGGGAAAAATCAACCATTAACATCCGGTTTATTAAAAAATGTAGTCGCATGCTTGATACGATAGACAGTTAGATGAATTATAAAACCTTTTATTTTATATCACTTTCTCTTTATTACCCGGAGTTGTTGTTTTTAGTCCAAAATGATTTCAGTTATAAAACACCTTTCTTTCTTTCACTCTTTTAATACATAAAAATTGAAAGGCGGATTGTTTAACTTTATTTCTTGTTAATTAATTTGCTGATTTCTAGATGAATAGAACAATAATTCAAAGACTTTGATAGTTTTGTGTTAAAAAAAATGAGGGCCTCATCGATTGATTGACATAGAATTTTAATAAAATCACTTCCTTGAACAGTAACAGTCATTTATTAGTTTCCGTCTATTTAGTAAAACAAACGAGGTGTGTAAATCTGGGGATTAAAACAACAATCCAATGCATGATAAAATGTCTCCCTATTTATGTGTTGTTTGTTTTAATGAAGTATTTTGCAAACTCTTTTTTCTACAGCCAAACTTTTCAATTCATATCTTTCCATCTGTCTGTGTCTAACGTTATTTTCAGATAATTTTAATCAAAACTCATTCCCCATTCTTCTTGATCACTAAAGTACCTTGTTCACTCATCGAACAGGATTTTAAATGACTCGTTTATCATTTTATTTGTACACAACTGAAATACGTCTGTGATTTTCCAGCCTGTAGTGGGCAAACTTCCACATACAGATAAACAGGTTTAGTAGTAATTCCATACAAGGAAGGAACCTCGGAAACATTAAGGAGAATTCTTAACAAGGCAGGAATAAAAGTGGCATTCAAACCCACAAACTGAATTAGAAACAAGCATTGTCGGTTAAACGATCCAATGGAGTCTTTAAAACAAAACAATTGAGTTTATCTAATACCCTACCTCCAATGATTGTCAGGTCAAATACATAGGTCAAAGTAGTAGAACAGGGGCACTCAGACTAGCCGAACATAAAAGCTTAGCAAAATCCAGATTGGTTGACCCGAATAAGATAAGAAATCTAGAGAATAGATCAGCTATAGCACTATATGCAGTCGCACACAACCACACAATAGGATGAGATAGGATGAAGGTTTTAAAACCTAATGTCATAGGTTGGAGGGAGAGATTGATAACAGAAGCTTTGTTTACCGAATCAACTGCAAAAACATGTCATAGGAATGATTCAACACCTGTCCCAGATATCTGGGAAATTCTACTACCCAACGACAAATAGGAGAGAGCAAAGAAAACCATAAAACTCAAGTTTCGAAGTCGTGTGATTATAATTGATGGCACGAATATGAACAATAAATTTTGTTCGAAACGTCATCCAGTAAATAATAATACTGTTTCACTGTGTGTTACATCTAATAAACTAACTTATATGGAATTACTTACTACCACAGTGCCCAAGTTTTACAGATATATTAAACAGGTTTACCCTCTACACTTCGTTTACACTTCATTATTTAAGCACAGATTAAATAACAGAACATAATTAATAATGCAACCGTGACCGTGAAATATTAACAGAAAAAAAGAGAAGATCTTTATTGGGAATTAAGTGAAGGCGTTTTAGGCAAGCTGTCAATATTCTGCTAACCTCTGATTGGTTGCTGATAGACCAGTAATATTGTAGCAGTAGGAGAAAATTTTAAATATCTCATGTGCGGGAAATGATGGGATAGTATAATGTGTAAAATGTTATAAATATATGCATAAAGTTGATTTTACGGAGTAGCCTATTTTTTTCTCTTCCTCTTCTAATGATTTTATGAAATATGACTAATTGACATTCTTAGTCATGATGTGTATAGATCGGATTTTATCATTTTTAGTTTTATTTTTAACAAATGCGGATTTAATCTCATGTGAATTCAACTCGCTTGGATCTAATTTACTTAGTCATAATTATAGTGATACTAAACTGGAATTACAGCATAAATTACAACAGAATGATGCATTAATACGACAGAAGAAGAATTTTTTCAAAGTGAACGTTTTAGCTGACAATTTAGCATCTTTTGGTACTTTTAATAAACATTATAAATTTTCTTATTTAAATGATATGCAACCAGAGAATATTGATAATACTAAACATCCACTACTATCTGATCCATTATTTGATCCTACAATTCTTACAGATTCTGCTGCACGTGTTATCCAATCGAATCGATGTACTACTGAAGAACGTCAGAAAAGAATACAGTGTTTTGATGTGCTGCCAGCAGAACAATATGCTATACCACTAGGGCATACAGTAAATATGCAATGTGTTGTTCTTAATCAACACGGGAAAGTTCAATGGCGTGCAAAGAAAATACTTCTCGGTAAGTGCTTTTTACATTGATTTTTTCTTAAACATTTTAGGGGTGCGTTGTTTGTTTTTATTTCTTGAGGAGTATGATTTTTAGGATGATTTTTATTGTGCTCAAAATAAGGCAACATTTTCCATTTCATGGTATGAAATACCGTGTTGTATATGTGTGCTTCTAAATGTTATCATGAATGAATAACCGTTTATTTCAGTGTCTCCTTAGAAGTTGATCCTTTAGTTTGAAAGCAAGCTGATACTCAGGCTAGATGCCTTCTCTGAGTTTTATGAGAAAGGGATTAAAGAGTGAGAGTGTGAGCTGTAACGAAGAAGATAAAGAGCCAAAAGTCTTTATCTACAGATCGTTGATAGACCTATTAAACACTGATTAATTGGATCTAGTCTAACCTAATGAATGCACAATAAATAAGGAGGAAAATTTTATTTAAGGAATATTTCAGCTTAACTTCATTTGGCAGATGAGAACTGGAGTAAAACTTCAACTGTCAGTAGGACAACTCGGCTGCTGATTAACTTTCTGATGAAGAAATTAGAAACCTTCATCTCAAAATGTTGTTTTCTATTTAGAGTTATGCAAGCCATGAAAATTTGTTTGGGCTGAAGTATTCTTTGAAGAAATTCAATAACCTGGGATAAACGTAATTTAGGAGCTAGAGGAAGCTTTGGCTACACGTGTTTTAAAAGCATTTCAGCGTTAACAACGCATCATCTAGTCACCCGTAGTTTACAACAATTCACAGTAGCTACAAAGTAAGACGCCTTTATCCCCCTAGATGATTTTGTTCTCAGCTACATCTCAGATGACTGTGATACCCAATATCTACCACAGAAATCCACAAGTTTTTTTTTAAAGACGGATGTGTATAGATACACATATATTTATAATGGTTGTTTTTTTATATAAATAACAGACTCCCAGGTGCGTTGTATTCCATATCTCTTCTTCCAAGCTTCACAGGTAAATCTAGAGTTGAAACCTCTCAGCATCCTAAGGAATTTTAAAATCATTAGTTGAAAATGTTTCTACTGACAGTGAAATGTAAACAATCATTTGCTTAAAGGTTTATTTTAGTCCATGTCACATGAAAAGCTGTTTTTTTGGATAAATGAATTGTTAATCTAAGGGGGTGGGAGGGAGAGAGAAGGTAATTTAGGATATTTTATACTCGTAAAATCCTTCCTAACAATTTGTATCTTTACTGGTTCATAAATGAACATGGTGCATGGCTCATAACACTAATACTTAATTTCAGCAAATCACAGTTTACCACAGTGCATAATGTTATATCACATAGTTCATTAGGCACATAGCGAACCAGACTGACAGATTACGCTTTATAACCACCAACTATACAGAGAGATTAGTTGCTGCAAACATGGCAGCTAAATGATAATGCTACTGGGTTATGCATGGTTGAATCCATAAGGCAAAGTACACCTACTCTGTTGATTCGCTTCATGAACCATCAACGTTTAGTCCAGAAATTTTGCATTTCCACAAAGTGTTTATATATGAAATACACTTTTTATTTGTCTAATTAGTGATTACCAAGAAATTATTGTGACATTCAACAAAGTGTAGAAACGTATTGAGATCTATGTACTGCTGGCTGATTGAGATAAATAGTGGCATAGTACTCATATCAACCAACCAGTAGTGTTCGCTAGCCAGACTGAGGTGATCTAAACGTGCATGGCAGCCGTTTCGCTAGTTTAGAGTCGAGTTCATCGGTGGTATACCCGGTTTGACTTACTCCGGAGAGCCGAAACTACCCAAACTAGTGATACCATAGGTCAGATTCACAGTTTGCTAACTGGTCAGCAATTTGCACTTTACACAGTTCACGTGGCGAACGTCCACCGTAGTTCCCTTTGAAAACCAAGTTATCCCGACAGTAATATGTGATATGTCTCAAATGAGCGAAACGACTGTCCAGTATTTGGATCATTTCGATACGGGTAGCAAGCATTGGTGTTTTATGTAAGCGGTAAGTGACCACTCAAAACATTCAGTCAGCATTATGTAGTTATACTCAACTTTGCTCGGAAATTTGAGTACTGAAATCATTTGACTCGCATATCGTTTTAAGCCAGATATAATAGACAAAGTTGCTTTAGACAAATTTCTGAATCGAAAGACTCTTTGCTGATGCATAATTTCGCCTCATTTATCTAAGTAAAAATTGAGCTTAGATCTTAGTTTCCTGTTTCTGTATTTAAAAATCAACATTGCAGATGGAAACAATGTTATCTTTTAAGACATATCGCTTAGGGAAATGACAAGTGGGCAAAAAAAGGGACTTTGCTTCAGCAGAATACCTTTATACTAGTGACATTGTTGCAAAAGAGGTTTCTCTTTTTGACATAGCCTTTGCTTCTGCTCAAAAATAATAACTGCTAATTTGCAATATTACTTATATAATTACAAAATGCTGTAGTTACTTTGAATGTCATCATATGATCAAGAAAAATGTCAAAAGTAGCATTATCTTAATTACAGACGGGCCCTTTTCTTCTTACAAAATGATTTTCAATCGGTTCCATAAGTTCCATAACTTATTAAGTAGTCGGTAGAATAACTGGATCTCGTCTTTCCAATTCATATCATTTATAGGTACAGCGTTTTCTTTCTTTCTTTTCTTTTACTTTCTCCTCTTTTTTATGTTATGTGCTGCTTTGTTTCTTTCTTCTGCTTACGCCAGTAAATATGCTAGAACCTACTTTTATAGCACCTTCAAACAGTGTTTAATTTTGGATTTGCTACGACAAGCTAATATGTTGTTGTCAAAACTAACTGAGATTACCCTTAGCTATGTAGAATTTTATTTTATTGTTAATTTACAAACTGGATGCAATACTGTAGTAAGAGGCTGAGAATTCCATTCTGTATCACAAGTACTGTTTTAGAATAAAGTAAATTATTATTATTAAGTCTGCTTGTTCTTCAAGATTCAAATTTTACTGCACAAATTTCAGAATAACTTCAGTCATCAACATTATTAGGAATACATGGGAAATTTTCAAAAATTATTTAACTAATGGCTCTTTAATAAGGGAAAAAAATAGTGATGTTTAGGTGAAATAACTTATTATTAGCCTGAACAGACATTGGATCTACAATGGTTATATCAACATGGTTTGACTAGCTCAATAACTGGATGTAATCTGTATGTGAGTCTCTTCAACAGACCAAATTCATTCGACCGGAGGTTCTCAGAAGTGCGAGGGCAGTATCTTTCCAAGTCAGCTGAAGAGCTGTCAGAATTGAGGACGAAGTGTCGTAATCCATTCCCTGATTCCGGTTTCTAAAGAAAACATACCTTCAAACAGACAGATTTTCTTCAAACCCTTCTATTTGATTAAGACGCAGTCCTTACTAATGACGATGGCAAGCTGAATTTTATGTATGGCTGCGAGAAGAAGCTATGATAATTGCGGCCTGCTGAAAAGAATATGCATACTATCAGTTAGAGGTGACATCAGAAGATGACTAACCTTAACCGACAGTAATTATAATAATAACAGCTTTATCCCAGACAACATTTTTACGCAGTGTACTTAAATGTACACTACATCTTCACTTCATCCAAGATCTTCTAGTTAAACAGCAGTCTATAGAACACCATGTGGTGCAGTGCTATTCGATCTGAAGTATAGACTGATCCCGTATGATATTTTTCCCTAGTTCCTCAGAAATGCAAACTGGTAGCTTGAAAGCTGATTAAAATGCAAATGACTTCATTTTGAAATTCAAGGACATCATTGAATGGTTAGACCAATTAGACTTAGAGAAAATAGGATGTCTTGTATTAGGTGGAAGGTCAGGTAGCCCAGTGTTTTTAAAGAAGCAATGAAAGTTGACAATATGTAGTGGTATTTTCATCGTAGTGCGGAATCCAAAAGATTCTCGGTCATTGACTCAAGTCTTTTATGCAGTAGTGCGTTAACTGTTCTTAAGAGTCCAAAATCAAGTGCAGTCGATATCTGATGGGTCCCCATCTTCGTTCTGAAAACAAATTGAATCTTTTTTATTTGATAGACAGGAAGAAAGGTTCTGAATCCGTGGACAAAAAGTAAAATACTTAATATAACTGATAAAAAAAGACATTTTACACTCAAAAGTGGAAGAAAAATCATAAAGTCACACATTTTAGAAACTCTGAATAACTTGTCAGTTTTTCTAATGATTTTAAATAGACGAACATAAATTTTTTGTGACCCAGCAAGAAAACTTCCACAGCAGTCTTATCTAAAGCAACAGTCGAGAAATTAAAGGCATATCTTTTCGGGTTATTGGAAAAATGGGATTCAGGCATTTATGTGTTTAATCCTTTGGTTAGTTGGATTCAATTTTTGGTTTCTCTGTTTTTAAAGACTTCATGAACATAATCAACAAATAATTCCTTTAAATTTCGGTAGGATACTAGTAACTGGTGGGATGCATCTAGTCCTTTCTTTGGTGCAGACTGAATTCTATCAGTCAGATTTGCAATGTGGCAACCATTCTAGATAGCACTTTGAATTGTTGATGTTAGATGGTTGGAAGCAATCGGCAGGAAGACTTGGACCTAGGTTTCGTCCTTCCTGCCGATTGCCTCCAACTATCTTTTATCATCAAATCAATGAGCACCATGATGACGAGCTACCTAGAATGGTGGCCACATTGCAAATCTGACTGATAGAATTCAGTCTGCAACAAAGAAAGGACTAGACACGTCACACTAGTGACTAGTGACCAATAAAAATACCCACTACAGTCCTACAGGAGGTCGATCGCAAGCTGGAATAGCTCAGTGATAACGTCTGTGACTGCAGTACTCACCAGACGATGCGGGTTCGGATCTGAGAAGTGGCATGAGTTCCTTCAACGTTACAGATACGCCTTGCTGATTGGTGAGTACCAACTACCACGAAACCTAGTTCCAAGGCTTCCTATGGCCGATTGCCTCCAACTATTTAATTTCTCTAAATGCACGAGAGATTCATTGTCTGTAT